TACTACTGGTCCTTGGGTTATTGTATAAAGTTTCAGTTATTTCATTTATTGATCCCGTATTATTCTCAATTGAATTGTGTTAACTGTTAGTTGGATTACCTAGCGAGTTGGGTTAGGTGCCATCACGACTAGTAGATTTGAGTTGTGACAAGTTGGTATCAGAGCTCTAAGTTCATTGGTTCTACGAGTCATGAGCAAGTATCTAGTAGAGTCTTACGGATCGGTATGATGACGTCCGTACCTATGTTCGAGAGGCCATAGGACATGTAGGAAAATTTCTCATCTTTCTTTCCTTATCGTGCATCACTGATTCAGCTTGAAGCGTATCTCTTTGAATTCCTTTCACTCACTCGTACGTGATCTTGAGCATTTGGTATCAGTTGTGCATCGATGGCTTATGATTCCGTGGATGAGGTGCGAGATGTGTTCTCTGTGTTGTGATTATGGGCCAGTCTGGAGGACTTAAGGCCAGGTTTAACCCACATCTTTAGCTCGGTAGTTTCAGTTGTGTGAATATGTGCATTTGGACTTATATGTCCTGTATCGCCCTTAGGAGTGGGATTGATGGCTCAGTGAGTGGTTGGACAGCTATATATGAGTATTATGTGACTAAGGGCTATGCTTAAATGATTTGGATGGTACGAGAAGAGTTTTCTTCGGATGTGAAAACGTTTATGGGTGCTTGATTTGATGTGTTGTACGGTCTCGAGTTATGAGCGTGTTGAGGGATCTTTCATGTTATTCATTTATGGGATGAAGTAGATTCTTATGTCTTATTGACGAGCTTAGACTCGGGAAGATTTAACAATTGCATAGTGGTGGTGATCATGGTAGGGCGTAGAGAGATGCCAGTTTGAGGCTGAGCAGGTGGGTTATCACCTGCAGGGTAGTATACGGATGTGTGTTTCTTATGATGTTATATGGAGAGTTTCTTTTTACCGATGGGTTATATGTGTTGCAATTTGAGTTTGGATAGCTTGAGGAAGTTGGCTTGACTGTCACGAGGATGAATGTGAGCTTAACAGGTGATTTGAGGTATTTCATGATTAGTGTTACATGAGTTTTTAGAGGATTTAGTGGAATTATAGTGCAAAACTATGGTAGTTATGGAGTAAGGGTATTTTGGGGTTATAGGATGTTGTGGTCTATGGCTTCGAGCTAAGTGGGTGAGTCTACTATCGACGATCAGATTGCATGGTCATGTGTTATGCTAGTTTTGGTCTGAGGTATACTTGCGGATCGGTTGTAACTTGAAGAGGTTGGTTTCGAGGATGACTCGAGTAAGGAAATTTATGGATGTATGATGTATTATACATTATGGGAATACTGGAAATCTTGCAATGATTTGGGTTTGCTATTCGTGGTGGAGGTAGTGTGCATGGAGTGGGGATTTACTCGGTTGCTAGAGATGTGGGTTACTTCTTGAGGTGTTTGTGTGCTAATAGAGCACATGTCATTCAACTCGTTTCGACGGTGCATTTGAGATCAGAATAGGGTGGATGACTCCCGAGAAGGTTCTAGTGGGTTCAAGATTCATATGTGGTATTTGAGGAATTTCCATATTTGTAAATGGCTAAGATGTGAGATTCATATTGTGTATTTGACGTGGATCGGAGCTTTTATAGTTCCATTAGGCCCGAATGGTGATTTTAGACTTGGATGTGTGCCCGAATTTGCATTTGGAGGCTTCTAGAAGGTTTGTCCCATAATTGGCGAAAGTTGGCAATCTAAAAGTTTGAAAGGTTCATAAGTTTGACCGGGAGTTGACTCTGATGATATCATGTTCAGATTGTTGTTTCGGGAGTTGGAATAGGTTTGTTATGTGATTTGGAACTTGTGTGCAAAATTTGAGATCATTCCGAGTTGATTTGATATGGTTCAACATGACTTTTGGAAGTTAAAAGTTTATTAAGTTTGATTTGAGGTATGATTCGTGGTTTTGATATTGTTATGTGTAATTTGGGGCCTCAAATAGGTCTGTGTTATGTTTTGAGACTTGTTGGTATGTTCGGACCGGGTCCCGAGGGGCTCAGGTGATTTTCAGACCATTTTGGGCCATGTTGGTACTGCTTGTTTATGTTGATTTCTGGTGTTTCAGTTGTGATCGCGAAGAACAAGCCGAGATCGTGTAGGCTAAGTCTAGAGTTGGATTATTTTCACTTTTGCGTTTGCGACGATCGCATTCGCGGGTTGTGGGGACTTGAGCATCGCGTTTGCACTATGGGTTCGCGTTCGCGTTCGCGTATAAGAGCTGGGAGCTGGACGTATTATCTTCGCGTTCATGTGGTCTACGCCCCATTCGCGAAGGTTTGGTTTCACTGTGCATCGCGTTCGCGAGGACAGTGCCGCGAATGCGAAGTGTAATTATGTGGTAGGCTAAGTTTGTGCTTCAAGAACGCGAGGCTTATTCCAAATGCGAAGGGTTTATCTAGAGCAAATGTATAAGTATTCTATTTTCGGACTTTGAGTTATTTGTTACATTTTGAGTTGGGCGATTTTGGAGAGGATTTTTACCACATGTATTGGGGTAAGTATTTTTGACTCGGTTTTGATTATATTTCATGATTCCATCATCGATTTTGGCATTTGATTGATGATTTTAGAAGAGAAATTGGGGGGTTTTGTCTAAACTTTCCTAAAGTGAATGATTGAATTTTGAACATCGATTCAGAATCGGATTTGAGTGAAATTAGTATGGTTGGACTCGTATTCGAATGAGTTGTCAGAAATTATGAGTTTTTTGTCGGGTTTCGAGGTGCGGGCCCGGGTTGACTTTGAGTATTTGATTAAAGATTCGATCTTTATTGTTTAGGTTTGATTCTTTTGGCATTATTTGATATTTTTGATTTGCTTTTGGCTAGTTTCAAGCCGTTTGGAGAATGATTCGCGCCGGATGGAGTTTCTAGAGTATTGTTTGGCTTGCTCGGTATTTGATTTGGCTTGTTCGAGGTAAGTAACATATTTAAACTTGTATTTGAGGGTAATTATCCCTGAGAACTATGATGTTTGAGATGGGTTAGGGGTGACGCACGTGCTAAGTGCCGTATGTGTGTGCGTGCAACGAGGTATTCATGATCCGGGTAGTTCATAGGCTATTATGTGCCTTGCGTTTCTATCATGCGTCTTAATATCATATTTTCTCCATTGGTATGACTACGTGAGTTGTTATTCATGCTAGAAATCATGTCTAGGTTATCTGATTTATTGTTTGAGGCCCCGATAGGGTTATTCTTTCATGTTTTCATGTTTTTAGTCATGATAGTTATATTCGCATGTTATATCTCTGCCTCTGTGCATTCTTGATATGCTATATCATATGTTATTGGTGTCTTTGTACGTGGCACGAGTTTAAAATATATTTGAGGCATATCGTGGTATTCCGTGTTATATGATTGGATTATGTTTCTGTGATATGTTGACATATGGAGACTTGAGCAGATTGATGACTGATATGGGCCGTAGAGACGTGTTGTGAGTTATGTTGGATTGGGTTGCACGCTGTAACAGTTATATTCTTATTGAGGTGACGCGTACGCAAGCCCAGTATTACGCTAAGTGTTACTGATTTTAAGGCTACGCGTGCACCAGGCCCTACGATTGGGCTATGAGATTATGATTAGCGCTTGGGCAGGATCCGCCCCTCCAGAGTCTGACATACCAGCAACGAGCGTAGGCACAATGTTATATATACATGCTTCGATAAGGGGCATTTATGCCAGGCACGCGTACAGTACTAAGTGTTACCGTGTGTGATGGTAAGGGCCTTGTGCCAGGCACCGTGAGCGTGCTAAATGTGGCTATTATTGATGGTTTCATTATGATGATATTGAGTTGACATGAAAATTTGACATGTAGGCATAGAGATGTATTTTCATCATGTTAGACGGTAATATGACATTTGATAATTTGACATGTATATTTGACACATAAGCATAGAGATGTATATTGCTCATGCTAGACGGTAATATGATATTTGATGATCTGACATAGGCATAGAGATGTATATTCCTCATGACGGTATATGATAATTGATGACTTGATATGTCTATTGACATGTAGGCATAGAGATATACTTTCCTCATGCTAATTGTTAAATAAAAATTCTTATCTGATGTTGTGAATTGGAAAATGCAGTTCTTTTGATAAACTCATGTTTAGTTGATTTCGGTGGTATGATTTGGACTTCGACTGTCATACTTGAAAAGTATGTCTATTTTTCGTAACTATGGCCGAGCTGAGCATAATACTGTTTTGAGTATTTTACTGTTTCCAGCATTATCATATCTCATGTTATTATCGATTCTGATGTTGGACTCCGACTATCTTCCAAGCCCGTCACTGCTTTCAACCTAAGGTTAGGTTTGTTATTTATCGACTACATGTGGTCGGTTGTACTCATACTATACTTCTGCACCTTGCATGCAGATCTTGGAGCTGATGTTGCTGTACTTGTCCTTCGTAACTTTAGATTTGAAAATTCTGTTTATGCACATTTCGAATAGATGATGTGCTTATTTCGTACCAACTTTGTAAATTCTAAATTTTAGAAGTTCATGATTTGTACTACCAGTCCTTGGATTATTGTATAAAGTTTAGTTATTTCATTTATTGATCCCTTATTATTCTCAATTGAATTGTGTTGACTGTTAATTGACTTAACTAGCGGGGTGAGTTAGGTATCATCACGACTAATGGATTTTGGATTGTGACATTAATTTTTAATATTAAAAGGAAAATTGCAAAAAAAGGAAAAAAGAAAAAAAGTCTGCCCGTGATTGAGTATCAATCAAGTAGAGGCAGGGGCATAAGGACAGCGACATAGCGCGTATGGTGTAATAGCATAGCAGCCACTCTCTCTCTCTCTCTCTTGTAATATTGTATCTATATCACAGTCAAACCCACCAAGTTTGACCCATAAATAAATCCCTAATTTTATTTCTACAAAATATAGTTTAGAAGTTCCTCCACTATTTATCACATTTTCCACGGTCAAAGCTCTTTACAGGTGCTTGGAAGATCCTTAAATCCACATAATCTAACAAAAGAAAGAATGAAAAGCAGCATAGCGCCTTGCAGAATACGTGTTCATTTTTCCTTTTAATTTCCCATCCACCCCCACAAAGTCAAGACCATCATATTATCCAATCTCTTTCTTCTACTACTACTACTAATAATAATGGCAGCTTCTTCAACAATCATAGACACCTCCTCTATGCAGAATTCAAGTTTCTCTTTTCCAACATCTTCTTCTTCATTCATGACTTCTTCATTCACTGATCTTCTTGCTTGTGATGATTATCCAACAAAGAGCAAAGGACTTGGTGATAGGATTGCAGAGAGGAGTGGTTGTGGAGTTCCCAAGTTTAAGTCACTTCCACCACCTTCACTACCCCTTTCTCCTCCTCCTTTTTCTCCTTCCTCTTACTTTGCTATTCCTCCTGGCTTAAGCCCTACTGAACTCTTGGACTCCCCTGTTCTTTTGTCTGCTTCCAACGTAAGTCACAATCTTTTTGTTATTTTTGTTACTTACTTCATTGGATTATTGATGTTAAAAAAAATGTTATTGCAGATTCTTCCATCTCCAACAACAGGGACATTTCCAGCTCAGGCTTTTAACTGGAAGAGCAGTACCAATAGCCGCCATCAGGGTGTCAAACAGGAAGACAAAAACTACTCTGATTTCTCTTTCCAGCCTCAATTTGCATCAGTCTCTCCGTCCCAAACTAATCCTGTCCCATTGGTATGTTTTGAACTCTGATTATTTATTTTTGTGTCTGACTTGTCAATACCCTCTTATTTTCTTGTGCACAATATATCAGGGGAAACAATCATGGAATTATCAAGAATCAAGAAAGCAGAATGATGAAAATGCTAATGGAACAAGTGAATTGCAGAGCTTGAAAAATAATGGCCAGAGCAACCAATATAACAAGCAATCATCAAGATCAGAAGATGGGTACAATTGGAGGAAATATGGGCAGAAACAAGTGAAGGGTAGTGAAAATCCAAGAAGTTACTATAAATGTACTTTCCCAAATTGTCCCACAAAGAAAAAAGTAGAGAGGTGTTTAGATGGGCAAATTACTGAAATTGTGTACAAGGGTAATCACAACCATCCAAAGCCGACTCAGTCTACTAGGAGATCCTCCTCTTTAGCCATCCAACCTTACAATACACAAACTAATGAAATCCCAGATCATCAGTCAACACCTGAGAATTCGTCCATTTCATTTGGGGATGATGATCATGAGAAGAGTAGGTCAAGAGGAGATGATTTCGATGAAGAAGAAGAACCAGACTCAAAAGAACCAGACCCAAAAAGATGGTAAGCAAAACCATCATGTCACCAAGATCAAAGTAGTGCTGTTATGTTATTGAATTTTTGGCTAATGCTAACATTAATTTTTCAGGAAAAGAGAAAGCGAAAGTGAAGGTTTATCAGCACCAGGAAGCAGAACAGTAAGAGAACCTAGAGTTGTAGTTCAAACTACAAGTGATATTGATATTCTAGATGATGGATATAGATGGAGGAAGTATGGTCAAAAAGTAGTCAAAGGAAATCCTAATCCAAGGTAAAACCTCCTCACCTTTCATAAATTTGTCTCACTTTTCTTAGAATGAACCTAATTTGTTTCACTATGTAATGTAATAGGAGCTACTACAAATGCACAAGTCCAGGATGTCCAGTAAGAAAACATGTGGAACGAGCATCACAAGACATAAGATCAGTGATAACAACTTATGAAGGAAAACACAACCACGATGTTCCAGCAGCTAGGGGCAGTGCCATCAACCGACCTGTCGCACCAACCATTACTTACAACAATGCCATCCCCATAAGGCCTTCTGTCACATCTCAAATTCCATTGCCACAACAATCTCCCTTTACACTAGAGATGTTACACAAGCCTAGTAATTATAATGGTTTCTCAGGATATGCAACTTCAGAGGATTCATATGAAAACCAACTTCAGGACAATAATGTGTTTTCCCGAGCAAAGGACGAGCCTCGAGATGACATGTTTATGGAGACATTGCTCTGCTGAAATCGAAATTTCATAAAATAATTTTTTTTAACCTTTTGTTTTTTGGGTAAAGAATCTGTTGGTTTCACTTCATTTGTCAGTCCATCATATATCTACTTTAATCTTTTTGTGGGTGTGTGTACATTTTGCCTAGGAAATTTGCTGGTTGTAAATTCAATGAAATGCAGTGTAGAAGCTCATGTGTACCACTATTATGGGGTGTGTTCTTTAGGATAGGAATGTAAAGCCCCAATATATATGACACTGACCCTTTCTTTCTTCATTATTTATCAAAAAATTTCAAGTTTTATGTATTATTAGAAGATTGCAATCTTTCAAGATTCTGGTAAACTGAGAAAAATTTGTCTGCCTGGCAAGTTTTGCAGTAAAATTTGAGTGCAAGATAGTGGATAACTTCGTGCTTTAGATACTTTTATTTTTGGTCATTTGGTTAAATGCCAAATTATGAGATAGGCACGAGAAGACTTTGATAGATTCAGCCCCTCTAGTCCATCTTCATTCCTTTCCTAGTTCCTTCCCGCCAGCCAACAAAGGAGAATAAATGAAAAATCAAACAAACAGAACCCCACAAGACACGCAAGCACACACGAAACCGTTACGTAAGAAAGAAGCATAGAAGTTGCCAAGCAGAGCCCCATAATTCGCGCAACTTTTTTATTCAATTTTGCTTTTTTCTGGGCAAGATAATTCGGCCGAGTTGATACGAATTTTTTTCGCCCAATAATATTTTAGCTATTAAAAAATAAAAGCAAAATAGAACAATATAGTAATGGAGATAAGATATAGAGGAGGGAGACTGATTTTGTTATTTCTCTTCTTGGTGTGTCTTTCATAGGATCAAAAGTTCCCTATTTATAAAGGTACAAATACATTCAAATGTTATAAATTAATATACTTCTTAGTTGAGTACATGAATACAAAGTACGTTAATTGGATAGACAAATGCATTCATCTTATAACACTTCCCCCCTTGGATGTCTATTTAAAAGATAATGTGTCTCGTTAAAACCTTACTAGAAAAAACTCAGTGGGAAAAAGCCTTGTGAAGAAAAAAGAGTACACATATCTAGTAATACGCATTGAGTACTGGCTCATTAAAAACCTTACCAGGAAAACCCAATTAGGACAAAACCTTGGTTAAGAAAAAAAGAGTACATCGCGTATCTGATGAAAACTTTATTTGATATCTCGGAGTCGATGCATTCTAATCTTATGTCTTAACTTCTCAAATGTTGATGGTGGCAATGCCTTTGTGAACAAATATGCCAGATTATCACTTGAACGGATTTGTTGAACATCTATCTCACCATTTTGTTGAAGATCATGCGTGAAAAAGAACTTTGGTGAAATGTGCTTTGTTTTGTCTCCTTTGATAATCCTCATTTTAGTTGAGCTATGCAAGCAGCATTATCTTCATACAATATTGTTGGAATCTTCTTCTTTAAAGAAAGACCACACAGTTGTTGAATGTGTTGAGTCAGCGATCTCAACCATACACATTCTCGACTAGCTTCATGAATAGCTATAATCTCTGCATGATTAGAAGATGTAGCAGCTAATGTTTGTTTTGTTGAGAGACATGATATAGATGTACCTCCACAAGTAAATAGATAGCCTATTTGAGATCGAGCTTTATTTGGGTCAGACAAATAACCTGCATCTGCATAACCAATCATTTGTGAATCAGATTCATAAGAATAAAATAATCACATATCAATAGTCCCTCGGGGGTATCTGAAAATATGCTTAACACCATTCCAGTATCTTGTTGTTAGAAAGGAACTAAATCTTGATAATAAACTAACTGAAAAAGTTATATCTGGTCGAGTATTATTTGCAAGATACATTAATACCCCAATTGCACTAAGGTATGGAGTTTCATTACCAAGAAGCTCTTCATCATTTTTATGAGGTCGGAATGGATCTTTATTTATATCAAGTGATCTCACAACCATCGGGGTATTCAATGAATGTGCTTTATCCATATAAAAATGCTTTAAGATCTTTTCGGTGTATGTTGATTGATGAACAAAAATTCCACATTTCATATGCTCAATTTGTAAACCAAGATAAAATTTTGCCTTTCCAAGATCTTTCATTTCAAACTCTTTCTTCAAACAGTCTACTATTTTTGGAAGCTCCCCAGGAGTTCCAATGATACTTAGATCATCAACATACACAACGATTATAACAAATTCAGATCTAGACCTTTTTATAAAGACACAAGGACAAATTGGATCATTCTTATACCCTTCTTTCAGTAAGTATTCGTTTAGGCGATTATACCACATTCACCCTGATTGTTTCAATCTGTATAAGGATTTTTGAAGCTTTATTGAACAAGTTTCCCAAAAGCTTTTATAAGTTTCAGAAACTTTAAACCCTTCAGGGATTTTCATATAAATTTCGTTGTCTAATATGACATACAAATATGCAGTGACAACATCCATCAGACGCATATCATGTTTTTCATGGACTTCTAAATTTATAAGATATCTAAAAGTGATTCCATCCACCACACGAGAATATGTCTCCATATAATCAATGCGAGGTCTTTGTAAAAATTCTTGTGCCACAAGTCGTGCTTTATATCTAACGACTTCATTTTTATCATTTTGTTTTTGCACAAAAATCCATTTGTATCCTACTGGCTTTATTCCTTCAGGTGTTCGGACTATACGTCTGAATGCTTCATATTTTTCAAGTGAAGCTAATTCTGCCTCGATAAAGTCTTTCTATTTTGGTCAATCATTTCTCTGTCTAGATTCATCGACACATCTTGGTTCAAGATCCTCATCTTGTTGCATTATTTTAACAGCAACATTATCAGCAAAAACGTTGTCGACAATAATGTTATTTCAGTTCCATCTTTTTTCCGTAGAGACATAATTTATTGAGATCTCTTCATTCTTTATTATTTTCAAGTACCTGGGCCTCCTATAAGGTCTTATAATTTGTTATGTCATATGGCTCTTTTTGACCAATTGCCTCCATATTATGATCCCCTAGATCATTTGCTCCTTTCCTCTTTCGGGGATTTTTATCTTTGGAACCAATTGGTCTACCACATTTCAAGCGTGGTTTAGACTCATTTGCATTTATAGATTGTCTAGCAGGGACATTAATTCGAATAGGAGCATTAGCAGTTGGAATATGTGACTTAGTCACCCTTGGTAGGTTAGTGAATGCATCTGGCGGTTGATTTGTAATATTTTGCAAATAAATTATCTTTTGAACCTCGTGTTTACATTGATTTGTTCGAGGATCTAAATTAGATAGTGATAATGCATTCCAATCTATCTTTTTTTCCAACTGCTTATTTTCTCCCCTAGTATTGGGTATACTGATTCATCAAAATGTCAATCAACAAATCTTGCCGTAAATAAACTTCCAGTCATAGGTTCTAAATATTTTATAATAGAAGGAGATTCATACCCAACATATATCCCCAACATTCTTTGGGGTCCCATCTTTGTGCGTTGTGGTGGAGCAATTGGAACATATACTGCACATCCAAATATTCTAAGATGGGAAATATTTGGCTTTATATTCTTGTAGATGAAACTTATTCTAAGTTTATATAATCAAATAACAATTTAACCGAAACTTATTGTTTTCATACCAATGCAATTATTATAATCATATTCAAAACAAGTTATGCATATGGTAGTTAAATTGCAGGTTAAAAAACATCCTTATAGAAATATTATAAACATAGGAATGTATACCTGAATCGGAAAAGAAACCGACTACCTCTTTTAGGAAGAAGATAAAATTCGGATGAGGCACATAACCTCAGTTGGTTAGAACTTCGTGCTGATAACGTATTAAGAAATGAGAGCAAAATAAAATAATATAATAATGGAGACAAGATATATAGGAGTGAGAATGATTTTGTTATTTCTCTTCTTGGTGTGTTTTTCATAGGGTCAAAAGTTCCCTATTTATAAAGGTACAAATACATTCAAAGGTTATAAGTTAATGTACTTTTTAATTGAGTACATAAATACAATGTACGTTAAATAGACAGACAAATGCATTCATCTCGTGTGACACAGCAAAACGATGACACGTAATTGAAGCGGTTGCGGACCCATGAGCATGGAAGTCAAGACCCGGGAGCAAGAGAATCCTTGCCGAGACTACCTATTCAGTTTGAAACCACAGCAACCAGAAGAGCATACACCCGGAGCAGATGAAATACTTTCAGTGCCAAACGCAATTGTACCTGAAGCCTTCCTGAGATCCTAGCCTCCGTCTATTCTGCAAGTACGGTTATCGTTAGGGAGGATCTCGCTATCCCACTAACAGCATAACTAGCATGCATACTGAGAACTTGGAACAACATCATCCCATCTAGGCTATAAATACCTCAATTAGCTCATTTGTAACACACATCTGATAACACATAACATTGTATGATCACTTGTATTCTTATTCTATTCATTAGCAAGATTATCTTTCTCTCTTATCGATATTGTATTCGATTTCAACACAGTCGCTTCAGAAGCCAACAATTAATAAGATTTCTTTTATCTTAATTATTTTTTCTATTTATCATTATTATTCTTAGATTTACTGTACACGCTTTGGATTAATCTATCTTCTAGAGGTTTTAAAATATGAATTCAATTGCTTATTTGAAATTCAATGCTTGGGTTAAACAAGTACCAACTTTAATAGCTGAAGTGTTGGTAAAATATTTTAAAAAGATTACTGTTAGGAGAGTATTATAAGTAAATTTATAAGTAGTTTTTACTTAAATGGTTTACTAACTTTTTTCAAGTGAATATATGTCAAAATACGAAAACTTCTAAATACTCCTGCTCGTTTTCAAATATGACTTTAAATATATTTTCTTTCTACAATTTCAATTAAATATTGTCCAAACGTATGCTTTACTTCAAGTTTAAACTGTTAGGATATACTATAAACCATGAGATTTATTATAATATTGTAACGACCCCGCCAGTCATTTTGTATATTTGAACCCTCTTTGATGCTTTTCGTATGTATGTTTTTGGCTTTCTGACTCGCGGGTTGGTTTGTTTGGCTTCAGAAATGAGAGTGAATTGAGACACATAGAGTGTGTTTGGTATGAAGGAAAATATTTTTCGAAAAATATTTTCCAATTTTTTCATGTTTGGTTGGTTTAAATATTTTGGAAAATATTTTCCTTATGAACTCATTTTCCTCAAATTGGAGGAAAATATTTTCCTTGTCAAGAGAAGGGAAAATATTTTCCAAAACTCTTTTTCAACC